CCCTCCTCCAGCATGGCAGGGCTCAGCACTTGTCCCCCAGCCATCTAACGTGCTACGAGGCGGTTCTCCTGGCTGCGGACCACATGACCCTTGTCCACTGTGATCCCCTCAATCCTGCCTCTCTTCTTTCTTCGCCCTCAGACAGCCAACCCCATGACTGCATTCAACTTGTGGACTTTGTTTCTCTTCCCTGTCCTGATCTTTCCGATACCCCTCTAACTAACCCTGACCTCATTTTCTACGTTGATGGCTCCTGTTTTCGAGATAATCATGGCATTCTCCGAGCTGGCTATGCTGTTTGTTCTGATTATACTGTTGTTGAATCCACTCCTCTTTCTGTTACTAGTGCTCAAGCTGCTGAACTCATTGCTCTCACTCGTGCCTGTCACCTTGCCACTGAACAATCTGCTAATATCTATACAGACTCTTGCTATGCCTTTGGTATCTACCATTCTTTTGGACAGATCTGGAAACAGCAGGGTTTTCTTACTTCTGCTGGGACTCCCATCTCTCACCACCGCCTTATTACTGCTCTCCTGGATGCTATTCTCCTTCCCTCCACCCTTGCTGTTCTATGGTGCAAAGCGCACACTGCTACTGATGATCCTGTGTCTCTGGGAAACAATAGGATGGACACTGTGGCCAAGACCACCACCCTGTCAGAACTCTTGGCTCTGCTCCTTCAAGCCACGCTCTACCTCTCTTCCCCTGTTTCCCCTGACCTCCCCTTTCTGCAGGATGCCACCCCAGATGCCGAAAAGGACACCTGGATCTCTGCCTCATCAATATCAACTTGAATGGGGACAGCTACATGGACACCTGAGGGGCATCCCTCAGTGCAAAGAGGATGGGTATTAGGATCAAATCCCACCTCCTTGGTTCGTCCTGGGCACACCAAAATAGGTGTTTAATTGTACCATTTAGGCATTTTACCAGTCCGTTGGTCTGAGGGTGGTAGACTGTGGTACAGAGTTGCTGTATCTTCAACAGCTGACACATGGTCCAGATAACCCTGGACATAATGTCCATCCTCCGATCCATGATTATCTCTTGGAACTCCCACACAGGACACCCATTTTAATAATTCCTCCACAATTCAGGGGGCTGTCATTGATCGTAGTGGTATAGCATCAGGGTAGTGTGTAGTATAGTCAATGATGACTAAAATATATTGGTGCCCAGCACTACTCTTCATTATGTCTAGTGCTATCCAATCGAAGGGTACCTCAATGGGCATCAGTTGCAATGGTGCCCATGGGGACTGTCTCTCTTGGACCTTTTGACACTCAGGCAGGCTTCACAATGCCACATAATGTCATCCCTCATCCCTGGCCATAAAAATCACTGCCCAACTCTGGTCACTGTCTTGTCTGCCCTGAGATGGCCACCCATTGGGCTAGCATGTGCCAACCACCATACTTTCTCGCGGCGCCTCCAAGGGACTACTAGCTGTTGGGTCCACTCCCCTCGGACCGAGCATTTTGTGACTCAGTATAACAAACCCCAATGTACCCAAAAATAGGCATCACATATGTCCATCCCAGGCCATATGGTTTCTTCCTCCACCCAAGCCACTTCTGTCTCTCGGACCCTCTGTAGCTCACTGTCCTCCTCTTGGGCCATCCAAAAGTGCATGCCCTCGGCACTCATCCCCAGGCTAACCCACTATTCCTCATTGGAGAAATCCGAATCTTCTTCTGCTATCCAACCTTCCCCCCGGTGCCGTCTTCCATGTCTTAGTTTTTCCATATGCACTTCTTCTAATACTTCATAGAGGGGTGGCCAATCCCTTCCCACAATCACCTGGCCATCCAATTGTGGGGCCAGCCCAATGCATAATCTGCCCTTACAACCAGCAATCCTCACATCCATGAAGCCCCTTTCGTATTGTTCTGTTTTGCTATGTATATAGCACTTCCAAACAGGAGGGCACCATTCAATAGCACTCTTGGGGATCAGCCCTACCCATATCAGTGTCTGGGAGCAGCCTGTGTCCAGTGTAGCCTGTAGTGGCTTGCCTGCCACCCACGCCATCACCATCAGATGGTCCCATCCCTCTACTTCTTGGCCGCGTACGAAGCTACAGTCCATTTCCTTGATTGGTTCATGGGCCTTATGGCACTCCTTCAACCCCACCATTTCTCCAGCAGGTCTCCACTTCTCCAGGGCCCCTAGGGTGCATTCCCGAGATACATGTCCCATCTTACCACATTGGTAGCATACAATTTCTCGCCTACTATAGCATACAGGCCCCCGTCAGGGCTCGTCCTCCCTCTTAGGGGTCGTGCCTGTATTTCTGTAGCTCTTTTCCCACAGCAGTTCCCCTTCTGAGGCAGTGAAAGCCTCTGCAATCCTTAAGGCTTCAGCGGCCAGGTGAGGAATGTGCCAGTGCACCCATAGCTGGGTGTTCTCATCCAGATCCTTTACAAATTGTTCCAGTAGGATCTGGTCAGCTAGGGCTGCTCAATCAACCTTCCCTAGTGGTACCCATTTATCTAAGGGATCTTTTAAAAACTGCATCCAGTTTTGGGGCCTGGGGTCTTCCTTGCTCTTTTGGGCCCGGAACAATCTGCGATAGTGGTTTGGGGTGAGTTCTAACCACTGTAATATTGCAAAATGATTGCAAAATATTTGTAAAATGATTCAATGTAGGCCTCTACATCGTCCTCTAATGTCATACGATGCATTCAGAAAATGGCCCAATTTTGGCACATCCATTCCTGTTGTTGTATGGCTTGTTGTTGTTGGACCTCAAGCACTTTTGATACTGCATGCAACGTTTGGCCTAACAACTCAATCTGGAGGTTTAGGTTCACCTCCATAATCATATCAGCCTCAAGGGTTTCCCTGGCTCCATCATTCCTGGCCAATGCACCAAGTTGTAACCTTCTGTGCCTCTCCCTCCAAGCATCATGTGTCTGGATTTCTTTTGAACCTCACTGTAGCCTCCTGGGCTGCACAGCCAGGCTACTGGGAGCAGCCTTGGGTCAGCTCCCCAGGGGTCTCACCTGCCACATCTTCGATGGTAAATAGTATTCTAGTGGGAGAATGGTGTCTGCTCCCGTCTCCCTTGGTACTCTCCCTTGGTCGTCCTCACGGCTATTGCTTCTCGGGGCTCCACCTCCCCTACAGCATGCCTAACACCAACTGTGAAGTCCGCTGGAGCTGGTGGTCTGGCCCTCCCCAACGCTCAGTTTCTTAGGGGCTGTGGCCGTGGGCTACAGGTGGTACTTGCACCGAGTGTCTGCCGTGGCCCTTCTGTGCTTCCCAGCTCATGCAGTGCCTGACTCCGCCTGGGTCTCAAACCCCCTTGTCACATTGTTTCCTCCCTGGGTTTGATACCTGCCATCTGGCATCCGTGTCCAGGTTCCATCTCCGTCATCTCCGGTGTCCCAGTCGCTCCTGGTGCTGGCCTTGGTCTACGTCAGCCTCGTAAGAGACTCCTTGGGCCCTTGCTGGCCTGGCTTGCCCTCTGTGCTCCCCTCTCTGGGGCGCCACTATGTTCCCTCCTCTTCAAGGTCACCTGGGCTCTCTGGCCTCTCTAGGCTGGTGGGGGACACTTCTTCCGGTCTCGCCGGCTTCCTTCCTGCTGGGCCTTTTATCCCGGCACCGGATGGCCACATGGCCAATCGCCCCAGCACGCTTTTACAAGGCGTGCCCAAACAGATGCGGGAGCTGTTCCCAGCTCCTCCTGGCTCTGCCATGGGTTTTTCCTTTGATATTCATCTGCAGTGGCTCCAGCCACTGAGGTTTCACTTTCGCCGCTATCGGCTGCCGGCGTAGTGTCCTGCTGCCTCTTTCCTGCCTCCAGTAAGTTTCTTCCACATGCTGCCTTAAGGATAATGTGTTTGGTTTCCAGCACTCCACATGGATGTTTCATTGTTAAAATGCAAGTTTATATTAAAAATATAAACAAACCTGTGGAAATGTTTGGATCCATATTAGTTGCTTTGCAGGAAGCAACTGCTAAATTGTGGGCCAAGATTTTTTAAATATCCTTAAATATAACCCATTGGAAATAAGATTCTTGTCCAATGAAGTTATATATATTTCTTATATATATTTATTTAGTTTATAAATGTAGAAAATATTTATATATATTTATTAACTGGCTAAAGCTGATTTTTATATGTGATGTAATGTAATATAATGTAATGAAATAATTCATCTTTAGCCAGTTAATAAACTACTTACATTAACTGTTGAAAAATTAATACTTAACACTTGGACTAACTATCCAAAAAAAGTTTTATTACATTTATTTTTTATCATATTAGCATACTTTCATGCTTTCTTTCCAACAGAATGGGGCCCTGTGGAAAAGTGGTTAAGCTGTCCCTGCAGGGACATGCATGGGTTTCACCCTTACTCTGAATTTCTTCTGAATACCACTTCCAGTTGACCCAGGTGCAAATTGGTATCTGCTCACTCAGGGAGGGGAGTTGAAAGTGGCTGGATACCAGGGCTATGAGAATTTCATCAAGCGTTTCATTTTAAAGCTGTTTTGTTGTGTTTTGAGCTCAAAACAGCAAAATTGAAATGAAACAAAAAGCATCGAAACAGCTTTAAAACAAAATGAGGGCATTTAAAACATTTCAAAAGTGTTGAAACATTTTGAGTTTCAAAGCAGCCCAGTGGTGGGAGGCAGGGGAGAGCCAGGGCTGTGTTCCGCGTGGTTTCACAGCCCCATGTTGCTCAGCCTAGTGGGAAGTGTACCCCTGGCTCTCCTCACCTTCCACCACTAGGCTGCACTCCATGGAGCTGGTGGAACCAATCAGAGCATAGCACCAGCTCTGTCCACCTGCCACCGCCAGGCTCAGCTCCGTGGGGCTGGCAGAGCCAATTGGAGTGCAACCCAGTGGCAGGAGGTGGACAGAGCCAGCCTCCTGCACTGGGCTGAGCTCCATAGGACTGGTGGAGCCAATTGGAGTGCAGCCCAGTGGCGAGAACCAGGACTTTGCTCTGCCTTCCACCACTGGGATGAGCTCCATGGAGCCCAGCAATGGGTGCAGGCTGTGCCTCATGCCAGTCCCAGGTGGCAGTGGCAGCCTCCTGTCATCCAGCACAGATCTGGGGGCCCACACCCCTGGGAGAACTCCAGCACAGCCTGGCAGCCCTCCAGGGGGTGAGAGCCCCTGGATCTGCACCCCGGATGAAAGGAGGCTCAGGCTGCCTCTACCACCTGGGGCCCACCTGGACAAGATTGCCGCTACCACAACCTGAGCCTCCTCTCATCCGGGCCACAAATCCGGGAGCTCACACCCCTAGGAGGGCTACCAGGTTGTGATGGACTCCTCCAGGGAGTGTAAGCCCCTGAATCTGCATGCCAGATGAGGGAAGGCTGCCACTGTTGCCAGGGACAGGCAGCAGCAGCAATTTTCTCCAGCGCTGGGCGCAGCCTGCACCCAGTGTCGGTCCCAGGTGACAGGGCAGCCTCCTCCCATCTGGGGCACAGATATGGGTTCCTGAACTCCCGGGAGGAGTTCAGCACAGCCCCACAGCCCTCCCAGAGGTGTGGGCCCCCAGATCTGCTCGCTGTGGCCAGTGGCAGCATCTGTCTTCCCTGGTGCTGGGTACGGGCTGTGGCCAGTGCCAGTCCCAGGCAGCAGCGGCAGCCTCCTGTTATCTGGTGCAGATCCAGGGGCCTTCACCCCTGGGGTGTGAGCCCCGGATTTGCGTGCTAGATGACAGGAGGCTGCCACTGCGGGCAAATTTTGCTTTTAAGATCTTGAGGTGCAGTTTCTGAGAAACTGATGCACCTATCTCCTTGAAACTTGGCAGGCTTCATGACCTCAGAAGGGGCTACCATCCCTGCAATTTGCATTTAAATCAGGCAACAATTGACAATGTTTAAGGCATTTTCATGATTCCCCATTATAGCCTATGGGCAAAAAGTCGAAATGAGTCAAAATGGCGAAACAGTTTCAATGAAACAAAACAGGACAGTGCTTTGAAATGAAAGAAAATAACAAAACAAAACACTGTCCCTTCAAAACAGACATCAAAATGAAATGATGGTGTTTCGCACAACCCTACTGGACACAACATAAACCACATCAGCCCTATGTGTAGCCGTAGGTGTAGTTGGCTATAGAAACTGTTGTGCTTTAAACGTGCTAGTCCAATTGACCATTAACTCCATTAACACCATTGGGCTTGACCTTTTCCTCCCAATAAATAAGAGTAGGTCCCTCAGATATAATTGCTTGAGTTTGGAATTGCTGGTAGTAATGGGGATCCATAGTCTGGGTCAGATTCTTCCCTATCTACTTGCTTGAGTAATCCCCCAAAATCAATAGATTCCTTATCTGAGAAAAGACTGTTCAACTGGATAAGAGCATTTGAGATCACCAGATGCTATAACCCTGATTCTGAAACTTCCTCCACATGGAGCAGTTAAAGATCATGGACTTACTTTGTGTTTTGTGTTTTAAATGTATTTTATACTTTGCCTATATCTTATTTGACATTCCATTAAGTTTCAGCAGCTTAAATTTCTACAATATTTTGGGTTAAAGTGGTGTTGGAACAAGGTCCATTTCTTGGAATTACCTTGGAACTCAGGAGCAGGTGCCTATTCCCTGCATAGCCACAAGCTCCCTGTATGACCTTCCACAGGTTGCAGAAAGTGGGGAAAAAAAGACTATTGTAGTACATGACAAAATTCACTAGACACTACTATCTGTAGACTATCTACTATCTGTGCCTTGGTTATTATCAATCTTCAAATGAGCATACTACTACAGTACTCACCTACTTTACAGAGTTGTGAAAGTAAATCCTTTAAAAATTGTGAAACATTCTGAAATTCTGGTAACTCTGTCAGTATGTAAACTACATAGCAAACCAAAAATATGTATATTTGTGCTTATTTTCAAAATAGAAGACATTCAGCTTTCAATTTATATCTTTCAGGCCACCCAACAAAAAGGAAAAGAAAAACAAAAATCCAGAAACCATTGGTCCAATCACAATTGTAAGCAAAAGATATTTGTAATTAATTTAACTAATGCTGTTGGTTAATCCAGTGTTTGTTCATGTTGTGTTTATATTGTGAAACATGTGTTACTTTTTTTCAATAGTCATATTATTCAAGATTCTGTTGAATCATTTCATGTTAGTATCTTTGGAATTGCAGTTAGACCTGTTCTAATAATTATAACTGCCCCATTCCTTATGTATTATCCCCCAATGTCAACACTAAGCAGTCACCTCAAATGGAATGTACCATGGGAAAAATGCCACTTGAACTTTTCTATATACCTTTTGTATTTTCGTGGATAATTTTGTTATAGACAGTCCTAAACAGAATATTAAGTTATTAATTAGAGTATTAAGTCCCTAACACTTTGTTTAATGTATTTTAGTTTATTTTATTAACATTCTGACAAACAAGGAAGTCATAATAGTTTCCACTTGCTGAAATAATCTGATGGTTTCTATCTTTTACTGTTTCCACCAGTTCCGTTATGCAGATAGTCTGGACATAACTCTTATGATACTGGGAGCAGTAGCAGCAGTAATCAATGGAACTTGTCTTCCTCTACTGTCACTGGTTTTTGGTGAAATGAGTGATAGCTTTGTGAATAATTGTCGATCCTACGAAAATGTTTGTAAGGATGTTATTAATATATATTATCCAGAATACTTTTGATATTTAATTTGCTTCTATAGGAGCCTGCTTCTCTTCATAATTATGTTCCTCTTTCCCACCTGTTTTCTTTCTTTTCCTATGATCATTTCAGTTTTCCTGTGAAAAAGGTTTGAACATTAGTCTGATTTGTTGTGTATGTTATTGCCATGACAGAATTTTGATTTTTTTCCCGGCTAAATAGTGATCAGCTTATTTTAGACAAATATGTGAATAGCAATGAGACTTTGTGTAGCTTAGTAGATTGTTTTTGTTTATTTTGTTATTTTTGCATGTTTAAATTTAATTTATCAAGATCACATATGTTATGGGTGAACTTCTTCTTTTCTATATACAAACACAAGGCTTACACAGAAGAAACAAAAGGCTGAATAAACCTTGACAGGACTTGAGTGCTTTTGGTACTTTTTAAACCCCACTTTATAACATTAGGCAAGAGCCTCATGAAGAAATGTTTGTTGAAGTGTTATTCACTTAATCATTTTTCATTCAGCTATTTTCTTTATGTGCTTTACATATAATATGGGCCCACCAGCTTCACTAAATGTCAGTAAGTGTATGTCCTATTAAAATAATGGCTTACAGAGGCTACTACCATGGGCTGCATCCTGTGCCGCAGTGGTGGCAGAGTTGGCGGTGGAGACTAGGCTGGCACTGGTAGCAGCCATAGGTGGCAGAAGTCTGGAGCTAAGGGGAATCAGCACCCCCAAGCATGGGGCAGTGGGTAAGGCTGCAAGGCAGCCCAGTCATAGGATCCAGGTGGCTGCAGCAGGAGTGGGGAGGGGTGCACACAGGATCACAGCCCAGCATATGGATGATTAGCAGCACGGCAAGCAAGTATCAATCTATTAGGGGAAGGGGCTGAGGGCAGCAGATCAAGGCCCTGGTGGTGAGGGAGGGAGTGGGGCACAGGCACAGGCTGCAGTAAGTGGGGTCCTGGCTGGGCCAGATGGTGGGACAATCAGAGTCCAGAGAGCTCATCTAGGGATGCCGGGAGGCTCCTGCCACTGCACGCACCCTGGCAGAGGCCAGGGGGCATGTACCCCCCCAATCTGTGAGCAGGGCAGAGGTAACTGCTGCTGAATGCTGGGCAGTGCTCCCTGCTGCAGCAGCCCCAGGAAAAGTGCAACACCATGTGCCTGGCACCACTGGCCTATGCTGCACCCCCTGCTTGCCTGATGGGGGGACACAAACGGCATTGCACAGATCTCAGGACAGCTGCAGCAGGGAGCAAAGCCCATCACCCAGGGGCAGCCACCTTTGCCCCACTCACACATTGGAGGGCATGTGCCCCCCAGGCCTCCGCTGGGGTGCACACAGTGGCAGGAGCCCCTCATGCCCCTGGATGAGCCGCCCAGGCTCCAATTGTCCCACCACCTGGCCCACCTGGTCCCCATTCACCCCAGCCCCTGCCCTGTCTATGCGCCACTCCCTCCCTCACTGCTGGGGCCTCGAACTGCCCTTCCCCCACAGACTTACCTTACATGCATGCGCTCAGCCCCACCCCACCCCCAATAATTTTTTCTCCCTCTACCTATGGTGGCAGCTGCTATTCTTGCACAACTAAGTAGGAGCCCAGGGCTAATTCTCTGGTTGCCTGCCACTCATTATGCTACTAGTGGCTTGTGTGGCGGGGCAGGAGAGGGGGGTCCCTTGCTTAGCCACCCACCCCC